ACGCCATTCCTTGTTGATTTGTTTATCATATTATTTGGTATAACTGAGTATGTTCGTGGTTGACAGTGTAGGCCACCGTCCATGCACATTTGAACCGAATTAAACAATAAGATATAAACTAAAATTCAGAAATATCGGCAAATTTGTTAAACTTATTATCCAAATATTTCATAATGAAGAACAAACCTTGAAAAAAGATAAGATAATTGCTAAATTCAGAATCTTTGTTTTGAAAATTAAATTACTTAAACATTAAAACAGTAAGTGATAACAGAAACTTGTTAAAGAAATGAATTAAAAAAGAAATTAAAAGAAAAACAGCACACACACAAAACAATGCAGTTGCTAATAACAAGTACACGTATGTATAACACTTAAATTATAGTCATCTAACATTATGTTGTTTTAAAAAAAGAATTTGACTTGATTATTTTGTAAAAAAATTTAGAAAGCATTTTTAAATAAAAAAATTATCGAGATCCCGCACTGGAAAGTTTGCTTAAGATAAAAAAATTTTTTGAAACATTTGTTTATCCCTTTTTAAAATCCACCCCACGAAAAGTTGATTTTTCCCTTTATAAAAAAAACTACGGAAACTTTAAAAGGGAGGAAAAAAGGGATTTTTGTTTAAAATGGGTTTTAATAGGGGAAACAGTTTTGGCTTAATTTTGGGAAATTTAAGAAGGGAAAGTCAAATGATGTAGTTTTTATTAAAGAAAAAATTACATCAAATTTTGGGACATGTTTGTTTTTTAAAAAACACCCCGTTTAAAGTTTTAAAAGGGACCCAAAACATTTTAGGGGTGAAAAAAAGATTCAAGTCTGACCAAAAAAACAAACCCCCCCGGATGTACTTTAAAAACGCGAAATTTTAAATTTCATCCTGGGGCCCATTTCTAAGGGAGTCATAACCACGCCCTTTCTGTAAAGTAGTTTTTAATTTTTCAGCCTAAAAAAAAGGGGTTAGCCTTTTTAATTTCTTAAAGGGAAGTAATCTTTTTCTTGTAAATGTGGGGTTTCCCAAACCCGGAACTTGAGGGTCCCCAGGGGAAAAACCTTTGGGGTTTTAAAATTAATTGGGGCAGAATGGGAAAATTTTGTTTTTTCCCCCAAAATAAAAAACCATTTGCTTTTAAAAATTTTTAAAAAGCTTTGGGCAGTTATTATAGCTTAAAAAAAATTCTTTTTCCCCCCCATAAAATTATTTTTTTTTTTAAAGCTGTTTAATGAGGGCCTTTTGCCCTTGTTTTTCCCTTAAATTCTTAAAATTTGGCAAAATTAGGGGAAAAAGGCAAGTCTTAGAGTGCGAGCAATTTTTGTAAAAACATCTAAAGATGTATAATATCAATTTTTAATTCACAAGTGTAAACATGATTTGTTTTTTCCCCGAACTGATGCTTACATATTTCTATTTACATGAGGCTTATGATACATTGAATATATAACTTATATCGAATAAATCAAAATTAGGCGTTATGTAATATAATTTGCAGAAGATAAAATAGCCATATCAACATTTCTGGACACTGGATCGTTCATAGATCACCATAAGGTCAACAGCTATTATTAATTTAATTTCAGCAAGGTCAGATTAGTAACGTCAAATATGAACTTTACAACATTGCAAAACAGCGCATTAAGCAGAGACAAAATACGACGTAGTAATACATCATTAAACTGACAAGCACTCACTTAACCATACACCAAAATTTTTGAAAAATTTTATACAACATTTTTAATTGGGTTTTAAATTTAAAAAACTCAGGTTTAAAAAAACCCTTTTTTTCAGAAATTTTTTCCCCACAGGTAAAACAAATAAAATCTTTAGAAAAAAACCCATGAAAACCCTTTCCCCCGGGAAAAAATTTAAAAACCATGGTTTTATAAAACCCTCGGGATATGAAATTACCTTTTTACGGAAATTTTCCCTTTTAAAGGGATCAAATGATCATTGTGAAAAGCTTCGTTTGGTTTTTCTCCCACCCCGTATAAATAATATATCCCATTAGGAAAAAACTACCTTCTCATCCAAAACCCTTTTTTTTTAATTTCTACCCCCACTGGGAAAAATAAAACTTGAGCCCTTTTTATTTAATTTAATTTTTATTCCCCAAAACCGTTCTTAATATATATAAAAACAAAGTTCTTAAAACGATCAATGTCATGGTAGGGAAGTAATCGATAGTTTATTTGATGCCATATGAATTAGAAATGCTAATTGAAACCTTAACTTAAAACTTCTTCATATAAGAATATCGTAACAGTCAAGAACATATGTTTTGTTCTTTAAAATCGACTTTTTAGCAATGCAAATGGAAATGAATAGAAAAATCATTTTCTATTAATTAAGCAATGAACGCCGATGGCGAAGTTGCAATTTTCAAGGGAATGTAAATAAATATATTAATTATATTATATTATTGTATTCCATCAATTTTAATAAATTAAACAAGCTATAATTTCCCTTTTGAATATCACAATTAAATTATTCCCTATCACTTGGTTTAAGTAAACATTTGTGAAATGTATGAAGAATGTGTGTTCAATATGATCAAACATTGTTTTAGAATGCGTTGGTTAGAAACATTTGATAAATCATGTTTAGACACAATTTCAAGCTTTGAATAGTATGACAAATGGTCATGTGTGGGCAATTGAATGTGCTCCTTGGATAGTTCAAATCGTTTGAATAACTATTAATATTTACAGAAAAAAGTGCCAGTGATTTTAGATGTAAACTTTAATAATATGCTCAGAAAAAGTGATACATAGAACTACAGTGAGCTATTTATCATGTTTTAAATTCAAAGGCACTTTCATTAATTTGCTAAATTCAAACGCCGAGCAACAAACTTGCCAATCTTAAAATACATCTTAACTGATATATGATAATTTATAATTATAACATTTTTCTACAAATGCATTAATTTAGCCATGGTTTAAAACTATTAATACATACCTCAAGAAAAATTGAAAACGCAGCCAAACCGTTCGGGGAAGACAATGCGTGTGAGTAATTTAGATATAAATTAGCGTTAAATGCGATTATCTGCAACTGCAAGTAAACAACCAACACATTTAAGAATAGAATAAACCATAAAAAAGCAAAGCTAAACAATCACACTTCAGCACCACAATAATGCCTTAAACATTCAAGACTTTTGGAAAAAACATATATAATACGTAAACTTGTTTTCTTTTGAAACTGAAAGGTTGCCAACTGGCTATGTGGTTAACGCAGGCAGCTGACTAATTATATGAGGATTGCTATCCGTGTGAGTTCAATGCCCATCAGGGGCAAGCCGTTGTTTCCTTGAGCAGGAAATTTTACAAGTATTGCTGAACTGGTTGGTTCCATGAACAGATTCGAGGTGTCTATAAGCTTTCTACACAATCGAACTAAAACAAATTCTGTATATCTGTATAAACCAAAAGTAACGCTGCTTTTTAGTATCTGATGAATATGTTTCGAAAAGATAATGACGAAAAGAACTCTCAAAATTAGGCTTACCTCTGCTGGAAATGAAAGACCATTAATGGTATGTTCGGATCCACTAGTTTCGTCATGTCCAAAATGTAGCTTCATCTGGTGCAAGTGATAGTTATACTGAAGTGGTCCTGATGTCACATTAAGGTGAGGAATGAGCACCTCCTCCACGAACAGTGTTACATCATTCCCTGTATTGGTTAGATTTCCATTTATCTAAAGGCACATAAAATATAATATGCTTAAAGATTCATGCCAAATTTTTATACTGTAGTCTTATGTATAGAAAGTAATTACATTATTATTATTACTGGAATTAAAATATGTTTGATTTAGAAGTACAGTAGTAAAAGTAATTTTAGTTTTTATGCCATTAATTATGAAAAGATATTATAGAAATAAAAACACCTGATAAATGTCAAGTTTGATTGATTTAAAGTACAAAGTGGATTAGAATTTCACATATAGCTTGTAATGCAGTACCTCATTTGTAAGTATTAATTTTGTACATGCACATTGCGAGTTTTTCTTTAATTAAAGTTAACAAAATAATCATCTCTGTTACCAAACTAATCGGACAAAACAAAAGCTAAAAGAAATCATGTAAACATTGTATGAGTTTGTCATTTATGTAACAAATGTTAACTTTGATTTGTTGGCTTCAATGGTGAATAATTAAATTTCTTGCTATAGTTCGTTGGTAAATATTATACAGGAACATATTTGAACATATGCGGCAGAATGGAAACATGTTTGGTTGAGTTGAAGGTAAACCTAGTTGTTGACAAAGCAATCTTTACTCATTAGTTTCAACAAATTCATGCCTAACGTCTAATCAGATTCGTTTAACCTTGTTTACTTGTATTAAGAATGTAATTATCCTTTAACCTGTAAATGAATATAAATATTTGTGTTTAGTGAAAATAGTGATTGTTTTAACTCAATTTGTTTATCTTTTAAATTTACGATATAAGGACAATTATATGTAAGTCACATAATATTTGTGTATAGATAATTATACACTTTACTCCTCTAGAGGGTTGTTATTTGATCAAAGATATTTGATAGTCACCATAAAAAAGTCAAACATTATCATGTCTTGTGTATCTTAAAACGTTCATGATATGATTTTCATGATATAATTGTATCATATCGTTTAATATACTTTTTTATCATATCGTATAATATACTTATAATATAGTTTTTCACAATGTTTCTTATACAAAACATTATTCAAGAACTGCTAGATTTTGAACATGAAATAGTTACTTCAGCAATTTTTAATCAATTAAATGATTTTTTTTCTTCATACGGCATTTAGCAGGTTAATTTTTGAATACGAGAAATATATCCATGGAATTGGCCCCAGAAACGAATACATTTGTTCTTCTTGAAAAAAGCAAACATGAGTATTATAACTTTAAAATAATGGTTTTAGAGGATGTTTATATATGTATATAACTTTGCTAGACTTTTATTTAATTATTTCATTAACTTAAATATTAAAAATATTCTTTACAGCACAATCAACAAAAGTTTAAAAACCGACGCCATGATTCGTAATTGATTATTTAGTATTTGACAAACGTTACAGTGAAATATACTTTTGATACCACTGCTACCGTTCGACTTGTTTGATAAGCTGTTAACTTAATTATTCATCCTGATTCTAAGAAGATATATCTAAGTTATGATGAAATGATAAACAGTGAATCAAATTAATCTATTTTGTTCTTCAAAATTAACAAAGGACTAAGATCTACAGGGAATATTTTAAAAGCGGTGTACATCATTAAAAATATGTAAGTACCGTATCATGATATTACATGAAATTCCAGATTATGAAAACGAGGGCGTCTGTGGCCAGGTGGTTAAGTTCGTTGACTTCAAATCATTTGTCCCTTACCGCCGTGGGTTCAAATCCCGACAGGTACTTTGGTGGGTACTTTCATGTAAGGAAGCTATCAAGCAAGCTTACGAAATATCGATGGTTGTACTCAGGTATCTGTTCCTTTCCTGAAATAGTTATGTAGGGGACTTAAATCTTCTTTCCCAGTTAAGCCGTTAAAGTCGGGTTTTTACGATCTCACCTGTTGGGGTTTTCGAAATAAAGCCAACAACACATTTTCATTTAAAAACGAAAAAAAAATACTTTTTGGTCGTCGTTGACATATTATACATGTATTATGATCGAATTGTTAAATGCATATATACATTCAATGTTCATATTAACAAAGGTTTTAATTTTTTTGAATGCGATAATTGATTGTAATTTCATAGTATTCTGTAATTTACGTATGGGCTAGTGGCATGTATGTTTAATAAATTTTTTGAACGTGAAATGAAATGAAGTTGTGTCAATGTTCAATGTCACTATTATAGAGTTACCCTTCAGTCAATGTGAAGACTAATAAATCTGCTTAAACAGAAGAGTGAACGAGAATATTACACGCTTCTTTTATTTACAGTTTACTTAAAAAACATTTTCACAAATTTATTCTATAAACTGTATCCTAATGTACCCAGTTGACACTGTAATCTATTGTAGTTACATGACATCAAAGGCAATCAGGAATTAAATAAGGAGCTAAATTCTTACAGTGCTAGCTTATTTCAATGTATAGGACATAAAAGACAACGTTTTTCTCACATGAGTTCCTGACTCATTTTCTCCTGAATATGAGTTACCAGCTATGGTGTTAAACGTAAGCCAATTAGTGTAGATCTACCATTGATTTTTCAAATGGCTGTGAAATTCAAGGACAAAATTGCAAATTATCTTTAAGGAGGGCATATATTTATTTCATTGTCAATTAAAACGAAGTAAAAATGCTATTCCAGATAGTTCAAACTTGCGTTTTGTTTTCATGATACTTTAATCTGGTACTGAAGATTTTTTTTCTAACTTTTGAAAACACATTAATGTTTGCATTGTATGTATAGCAAATTAATAGTTTATGTCTTATAAAGCTGGGAAAATAGATATGAAAACACCATGAAACAATTTGTTGATAATAAAACCCAGTATTTGATTTATTGTAACAAATTTGAGATATTTTATTTCAATTTTACAAGAAAAAAAGAAAGAAAACATTTACACAAAAACAGAAATACCCTTAAAAGATTTCGATTCAGATTTTTTTACCAGCTGACAGCCCAGGCAAAATAATTTTGTCTATAACAATTATTTTATGGACATACGTATCTATGCGTTGAATGTATTATATACCTTGGACTTATATCTTGTGTTGAAAGTAAATGACTGTTTCCATAAATAATTAAAACCAGCCTTCGGATGTAGCTTACAGTAGTTTCAATGATTTTGTTATCATATCATAACTTTATAACTGACTGTTTGTTAACAAACATCAGTATAAACAACGCAAATCAATATATTCGAGAAAAATATGCCGAATATAGAAAGTTCAACATGCAGATTTTAAACTTGAATTACAAAGAAAATAATACATTTCACTTTTCAGACGTAGGCATGTATATATGACATTTTGTAAAATTGTAAAACTTACTTGTTGAACGATATGCCTTGCGTACGCAAGTGTTCGACATAGTTCGGCGTAGTTTAGCATCACTAAACTTAATCAAAACTTTATATTTACCCCTTTTAAGAATACCCCAAGCCACACTGGCGTTTACATAAACCGTTGGCATTGTTTATTGCTTTAAAATTTGAAACAGCTGTAAATCACTTTTACCTGCCTTTATCGGCAAGAACACATTACATTACTTTGACATTGGTGTTGATAAAAAAACATTTTCACGAGCCATTGCTTTGTAAACTAAATCATTTACTTAAGGTAAGTTCTTGCACAGAATGGCATCAGTTATTTTCTCCCTTTTTAGTAATATTAACAAAACTATGCCCCTTAACAATGGCGTAGACTGAACCCCTCCCTCTTCAGCCAAATTTATTACTAGAATACAGTAATTTATATCTAAATTATTTGAGACATTGAGCATTATTATTTCCCAGGGTTCAAAAGAAATAAGAAAAGCTTGAACTTCATATTTGTATCTTGTATGTTTGTGCATTTAATCTTATAAAAACTCCTCTGTATGAATTAATGTACTTGGAAATGAATGAACATGCAATGAAAATCTACACATATAAAATCTACATGTACATTTGTATATGTTTAAACAAAGATGTTTTTATACGAGGCGTCTCTTCTAAATCTCACATTATTCAGGACTTTTATTTTACAAACATACACTCATCTATTGTCATACCGTTAACTAAATGTTAAAAATCTCCATCAAGTTTTTAAAGATGTTATATTATGTCTTGTTATAAAAGTTAGGACGATTAAACTCTTCGAAACACCAATTCAATCACGACATTAATTTATCACAATAGAAACAATGTTTTTTAAATATAAGATATATTTATCAAGATGTACTTTTTTGTGCGGTCGTTTTTATATATATATATATATATTATCTTTTAATTCTATAATTGGAATGTATCTCCTTTTGTATCGATTATGCAACGCCTGAACCTCAAGAATGACGATATATCAGTGTTCAAAAAGATAATTAAACAAACAGTATATAAATATGTTATTATTGCATTTATGAATGACCTATTAAGTACTGTCATTGCACTTACGGATGACAAATGCAAGTCCCTTTCTAAAAGAGGCCATAACTCAAGTATATTGAAATATACCTCATGTTTAGTATTAGACTAATTTATAGTCGGAGACTACGCGTTTCTCTTTTGATTGCAGATAAATGGCCCAGTGGGAGGCTCTATAATTGACATTTCATAAACCCGTAGTGTTTCAGCTACCCGTAGTGTTTCAAACCATTCTTAGGCAATGCCCCACATCACTTCTATATGTCTTGTATATCTGCCATTTTTATTGGATATTGTTAGGGCTAAGATTTGTGAACGTTGCTCTCCTATGTTGATATTTACTTTAATATTTTATTTTCATTCTTTTTTACAGATTCCTAAGATCAGTGAAGACAGACTTTTCATCAAGTGTGCGTGCAAAATATGAAAAGGTGAATATGTGTTCATATTTATATGTACTTGAAGGTTGTGAAACAAAATACGTACTGTTCAAAAATTGACTTTTGATATGAATGGATAAGCGCTTATGAGAGTTTTGATGTTAAGTATAAAAAACTGTCTCAGATGAGTTCATACATAATCAATACCAAAAACATACAATTATAATAACAACTGATTTAAGTGACATTCAGATGTATGATCATAGTAAATGACTCTTTATCAGAAAACTTGCAAAGAGCTGATAAATCCCCTTCTTTACAGTTGTTAAATACTTGGGAAATATTTTGTTGTAGGGGAAACAATTTACAACATAAATATGGTATTTATTACATGTAAACCAAGATGTTCATTCGAAAATAACTCTAATCTTAATTGGTACAAAACACTACCTGATATTTACCAATTTTACATTAAAGCAATGTTGTCTCAAAGAGAAGTAACTGTCTTATTTTATTTTCTTCGAAATTTTGAAATAAGTGCATTTATAAGGTTATTTATTGAAATGAAAATAGATTATCGCTTACAAAGTAAAATTCGATATAGTTTGCTGTCTAGGACTCTGACCAGGTTTGCGATTCCAGTTATATGAGTCATATTGTGATAATTAAGAACATCTCTTCTTTTTATCCTGTATTGTCAAATAACAAATGACTAACCATGTTTTTCTCCTATCTGTGGATAAAAATAATAAATGTATAAGCTTCTGCAAACAATTTATCTGATGCTAAGATTAAAAAAAGGCAGCTCATGTTTACTTTGAACAATCTTCGACAACTTCATGTAGTCATTTGTAATAAAGAGCTAATTTGCAATTCCAGTCTGAGTAAACAAATGGTGCCAAAACTGGTATCAATCAGGTTATAATGTTCTCTTGTAAGACGTTATGTGTTTTCAATGTTGATTTTGTTTAAAGAAATTAATGAAATATACATATTGTTGTAGATACAAATTTAAGAATAGCTGCAATATTGATCAGAACATTTATTTAGGTATTATATTTATAGTCATCTATATCAAATTGGTATTGTGACTTGTTCTGTTAGAGATATTAAACGATGCAAATTAACAGAAGAAACACAATCGAGCATTTTTAAGTATATATGTGTTAAAATAACATTATGCATGATAATCAATACTTTTCATTTCTCTGGAAAAGGCAAACATGAGTTCTAATTTGTTGTATAATACTAAATCACTATAACTATACTAATTAACAATACGCAAACGAAAAAAGGTAAAATATGGTTCGGCTAAATGGCTATTGAGTAACTCTTTTGAAAAATTAAAAAAAAATGTAAAAATAAAATGATAGCATTTTAGACTCAATTGCCTTAGCGTATTGTGTGCTGTAATTAAAGGAAATGAGTAGGATACACATTTCAGTAAGCACATTTTGGATTTTTTAATTTATCTGATGTCTTAACGGGTAACAAAAACATTAAACTCGTAGTTAAGGGATCTGGTTCTCTTCCCTCACCAAAGGATAGTGAGTTCGAGCTATAACGGGCTGACTACCATGTTCTTATATTACACAAGTACTGTTTTGTGGCAGGAAACGGACTCAGGAGTGGTTTAAATACGGTACAAGCTTTCTTTATAAGCAGACTTAAATCAATAATGTTTTCACTTCAACTAAACAGAATTAACTATGGTAAACATACAATGCTAAATGCATTTAAAAGAAACAACAACAACAAAAAATAACTTTTATGTTTTATATAATGAACATATTTCCTTTCAAGACTACATTAGTCCTACAATGTATATGAAAACATTAATATAGGCATTTTAATATATTTCTAAAGTGTAAAAAACACATTCATCTTAATACTGAACACTATTGCTTTAAAGGTATCAATATATTTATATAAGCTAATATGAACTGTTTTCATAAATATATTGCTATACAATGTATTCATAACATGCAATCTCATTTACATAAATCATCATAAAGTTAATAGAACATGTTGCATTATCTCTAGGTTCAATTTGGTTTCCAAGAATTTTGGCAGATGACATATTTAATTGTATTCATTTAATCAAGGACTATTTTAAGCTAACAAAATCTTTGGCCCGCAGACAACCTTTATGCTTTTTTAAGGTTTTACTTTAAGTTATTCAAACTTTATTCAATGAAGGGAGAGGTACTAGTTAACTCCTCCATTTATTGCTGGCAAGTTTCAGAAGCATCGCATTCAGAGTCTTTGGCCACTTTCCCCAGTAAGATAATTTTCGTCGACAATTGATTTTCTCGCTTGACAGTTCGAGAAATTTTATTCCAATTTTTCGTAGGAAATCCGGTTTTCAGTAAGAAAAGCGAATCTGTATTGCCTACATATCAACATTTAAAATGGCGGCTCTTTTCCAACACAAATAGTTTTCATCTTCCCTTTCCTGGGTTTTATTGTAATTTTAAACTGAAAAGAATTAAATGATAGTACAATATGAAAACATTTATAAAGATGACAATTTAGTTTACTATGAAATAGTCATAATTGAGCAGTATTAAAATACCTTAAAGTAGCATAACACTGTAGCATTGGAAACGTGGTAGGCGGGGGAAGATTAAAGCTATTTAAAGGACAAAGTCATACCATACCGTAAAATAAAAAATAAAATTAACATATATGGTTGTGCTAAAATACATGTATACTCTTTGGTGACATGAATACTTTTTCTTTTAAGATAAAGGAAGTAGGACTATAAGGACGAGCAATTCTTATTGTGACAGTCGAAAAAAAGGAACATACCGCTTATGTAATTGTTTATCTTAACTTAAATGAAATAATATAAGTATACTTTAATCATCACTAACTAAGATGAGGCAATATGGTATCTAAATAAATGTAATTTAGGCTTACAATATTGTTGTCAAACCTAGATATAAAATTAATAAAACATTAACTACGCTGCAAAATTAATACTGATATATATTTACCTTCATAGAATACTTCTTTTGCCATAGAACACGCTTTAGTCTGGAAAATTGAAAAATATCTTCTGGTTTGACATATGATTAATTATACCTTTTCATATGATGATGATGATGATAATAATAATAATAATAATAAAAACACCTTCCACCCCCCCCCCCCAAAAAAAAAATACCAACAAAAAATACAACACTTTTATAAAAATGCGACCACATTTTGATGTTGTTTTCAAAGGAGCCTGATGTTAATATATAAGTGATGCAAACAATCAATTAATAAAACACTTTGCTGATTAGGCAGATATCTAACCCTTAACAGTCACTTTATCTTATTTTAAGAAAAAAATATTTAAATTTTTTTTTTTCAAAACGTTATGGTCTTTTATTAAGTAACTTGTGTTGAATAACCATTGCACTTTATAAAAGAAGATACATATTAAAAAGAAAAGTAGTTTACCCTAGGCTTGTAGCTTATATTAGTTCGCACCAATCGGTTGTTGACAGGTTGTGACGGACGGATATTTCCAAAAAGCAGTAAATGTTTTCCGCTCTCTTTATTTATATTGCGCAGTAGAAGAAGCTGGAACATAGAAACAATACTTATTCGTGTATTGGGTCATACAGTTATAAAATATACACATTAAGGTTGTTAAGTAACATAAGGCTCAGCTTCCTTTGAGGTATACGGTAGTTTCATTATAATGATTTTATAGATATAACATGAAAAAGGAAAAGTCTCTTTGTCAATGTTGTACTCTTTTAAAGAATTGATATTAAAATTCATTGTTGCATAATTATTATTATATATATTGCAGGTGAAACAGATAAAAATGTTCCATACTAAAAAAGAGAAAAACGGAATCCCTAAAAAACGACCAAAACTATAAAACTGAAAAACATTTGCTTGAGCCTGTTTATGAACGGTACTTTGGGAAATGCAAGTTACCGTCCCAAAACCCCATAGCAAACCGGGTTTAAAAACATTTCCAGATAAACCCTTTTGAAAAATTCCCTTTTTTCCCGGGCCCCCCTTTGGGTTTTTTTTCGTTTAGGGCCCCACAAATTCTTTTTTCTTGGGGCCATACGGGCCCCCTTTTATGGAATGAAAATACTGGGTTTACATTTAAGGGTTCCCTAAGGTTCCATTAAAAACCGCCGTATGAAAATCTACCGGGTGTTTTTTTAAAATTTAAAAAAATTTACCAAAATTTTGGGGGTTTTAAATGTTGAATTTTGCTTAAGCAGGTGCTAAGGGGGGGTGGACGGTAAACTTGCACTTTCCAGTACCGTCCATGAACAGGCGCAATCAAACCGAGCCTGCAACAATTTACAATTTTCCATGTTGTGCTTTCTTTAGGGATTCTGTTTTTCTCTATTTCAATCAAACCGAGTCTGCAATTTTCATGTTATTTTGTTGTGATTAATGTTTCCGAGGGATCACAATTTTTCCAGACTTTTAAACTTTACAACAGTAGGTGTCAAGTGCTGTGTGGTAACTGTGAAAAGTTACCTCATACCTCACTAAAGTTTTGTTATATTTTTTGACCTTCGGGTTTAATGATTCCAGCAGTTTTAAGTGCTGAAAATTGAGTACCGGTCAAGCCGGTGATAGGGGTGTGAGGTATGTTGCACTTTTTCATAATCGCTCATTGACAGACTCACTCAAACAAAGTCTTCAATTTTCATGTAATTTCGTTGTGATTAATAATATCTGTGATATGTTACGGTTTGGACAGGAATATCCGTCCCGAGGGGAACGGCACATTTGGCGGGTTCCCGAGAGACGAATATTCCGGTCCGAACCGCAAACATATGTCAGATATTTTTTCTTGCATATTCTGCCATATTATTTCATATTTAAAATGGTTTACCTCAATTTGATATATTTTCATGGAAATTAAAGTCATTTCATTCATAACTTTTTTCTAACAATAGCGTATGAACTTACAACTTAAATAACAACGGCGACATGACGTCATCCTAAGCACATATTTCCCTTCTAAAACGACGTCATTTTAACGCGGTTCATTCATAAAGTGCTTTAAAATGACGTTGTGTTTGGCACGCGTCTCATCAGGCACCCCCATGCCAAATGAAATTTCCGGCATGGGTAAAACTCACGGGAACGCCAGTCTGCTATGCAAGAAAATTGCTTCAGAAGGATCAAAGTTTTTTCCAGATTTGAATATTTCATCATGGTAATTGTGAAATTTTGAGTTTAGAAACATACCGATAAAATTTTGATTTTAGAAACATACCAATACTTAGTTCCGTAACAATGAACTTTTAATTTTCTATAACACATAGATAACTCACTTGACGTTCAGTTATATATATTGGTTTGTTAAAAATAACCCATGTTACAGTTTCTTGACATTGTGGTTGTGTTAAGGAACCCTCATAGGTGATATATTGTGATGTTTGTGGTAATAATACTTGTAACGGTATGCCACTTATACATCTCTGCTCATCTGAATAAAACAAGTTAAAATAATGCAGATTATTACCCTATTTCAGTGAACATTTCAGGTTTAACGAGGCAAAACAAATCGATGGCTTAGTTCTTGTTGCTGGTTCGTGTAGGGTTGCGTTCATTGAACGCTGCCATTCCTTGTTGATTCTGTTTATCATATTATTTGGTATAACTGAGTATGTTCGTGGTTGACAGTGTAGGCCACCGTCCATGCACATTTGAACCGAATTAAACAATAAGATATAACTAAAATTCAGAAATATCGGCAAATTTGTTAACTTATTATCCAAATATTTCATAATGAAGAACAAACCTTGAAAAATATAAGATAATTGCTAAATTCAGAATCTTTGTTTTGAAAATTAAATTACTTAAACATTAAAACAGTAAGTGATAACAGAAACTTGTTAAAGAAATGAATGAAAAAGAAAAAAAACAGCACACACACACACACAAAACAATGCAGTTTCATATAACAAGTACACGTTTGTATAATACTTAAAACTATAGTCATTTAACATTATGTTGTGGATTATTTTGTCAAAAATTTACAACATTGTAAACAACTGAAATACTCGAGATCCCTGTAGCTGAAAATGTTTGGTTAAGATGTAAAACATGTAACATTTGTTAATGCCTTTGAATCCAAACACGAAAAATGTTGACTTTTTGTCCTTTATTTAACTACGGAACCTTTCAAACGACGGAATATGCATTTTTGATATAATCGGTTTTGAATATGCAACAGTCTGGCTTAATCTTGGAATTAGAATGAAAGTCGAATGATGTAGCTTTTATATAAAGAATAAATTACATCAAATTCGACATGTTTGTCTTTATAAAACACGCTTAGTGTTAAAGATCCAACATTTTATGGGTGAAATAAAGATCAAGTCTGACATAAACGATCCCCACCGGATGTACATTAAACGCGCATGTTGAATCGATCCGCTAGCCCATTTCTTAATGGAGTCATAACCACGTCTTTCTCGTAAAGTAGTCTTTAATCTCAGCCATACGGAAAAGGTTAGCTCTATTTAATCTTGAGAAGTAATCGTTTCTTGTCAGATGTGCGTTTCCCTAATCGGAACTTGATGTCACACGGGTAAAGCCTTTGGGTTTCAAATAATTAGGCAGAATCGCGAATTTTGATTTTTTCCCAAAAATAAAGAACCATATGCTGTTACAATTTTAAAAGCATTTGGACAGTTATATAGCTTATATAAGATCATTCCCCTCATAGATTATCTTTTGTTTTATGCTGCTTAATGATGCGTGTGCCCTTGATATTCTTTATTCTTCAATGGCTTATTAAGGGGGAAAAGGTAATTCTTAGAGTGCGAGCAATTTTTGTAAAAACATCTAAAGATATATAGTCCAAGAGATGGTAGGGTTTTATTGCAATTTACCGTATCACCAAAAGAAACATTGCCATTATAAAGTATATTGTTTATAGTTTCTAAAAACCCATTTCTTAAGTTACGCAGCCCGGGCAAAAGTACAAAAATTCAAGATGGCCGCCAATATGGCCGCCATAAATTGCAAAATACCATATAATTTTTGTTTCTTGATTTTTTTACATACGAATTTTGTACAAAGTAGTTTCAATTGCACAATATCAGATAAAATATGGCTAATTTATGTCATAATTAAGCAAAAATGACAATTATATGACAAACTTTAAAATTATCACTATCAACTTACCAAAAAAGTGTTAAAAAATAGCATTTTTTGACAATATGATGACTTTCGTTTTTCCGTATTTACACAATATAAACAAAAATGCATTGAAAGTGTCTGTACTTTATAAATTTAATATAGCTAGACAAGTTAAGCATAAAAAAATCATTTTCTGGGCATTTATGCCGTAAGAGTAGATCTTCAAAAGTGGGTGGGGTAAAATTACCGAAAAAAAAAATTAAAATTACAATGTCCCCAAAACTTGCCTTTACTTTATAATTTCAGTTTAATGTATAGGAAATTGTGTTTTAATTGTATGTTCTTTATCATTTGAACCTTTTTTTTGATACGTTAAGCATAAAAATTCATTACCTGATGCATTTATAACAAAAGAGTACAGCTTCAAAAGTGGGTGGGGTAAAAAAAAAACCCAAGAAAGCGTGATCAAAATTAATAAGCTCCCAAAACTTGCCCTTATGTTACAATTTTAGTGCAATAACCATATATCAATTGAATTTTGTGGTAAGATATATAAATATGTAATACATTTAAGAAGAAAAGAAACATCATGTCATAGCAACCTTTAAGATTATCACAATTAACCAAAAATTTAACAGGTAAAAAAACACAGTTTTTGCATTTTGTTGCCTTTTAGTATATCTTTTTGACACAAAGTAGATTTGTGCTAGAGTTGTTTAAGCTGATTAAAGCTTTATTACTTTGGCATAAAAATCATTACAAGATAATGTATTGCAGAGGGATAGAGTTAAAAAATGGGTCCGATAAAACACTTTCAAAATTAAAAAGTGCTAATAGAACATGCTTTTACTTTTTATTGTTTAATAGTCATGTTTTGTCATTTTCTGATAATTATTATCAATAAATTATGTTATCAATGTACCTAGCATAGTCATATTTTGGTAAAACACGTTTATTGCAGATATTTTTGTGAAATCTACAAAATTCTTACTGAATATTTTTGAATAAAAAAGTTTGGAAAGCTGTACTCCCTATTGTTGGTCAAGTTAGTATGGTCCTTACTAAAATACATCAGTTTTAATGACGTTATGTATTTATACTGTGTTTATCTATAGTGTATATCTTGTATATGTGTACTCAAAAAGATGTTTATTTTATGTTTAAAAAAAAGGCTGTTTAGCAAATACAAGTATTTTTCAAATTTAAGTATATAAAATTCTTTAATCAATTAAGAAAAAACATCATTTAAATGTTTTATTTATCATAATTAATTCACACAAAAATGTATAAAAACAACATACTTGTATTTTGGTAACTTTTGTTTCATCTTTGTAACATTAAATAGATGTAAGTGTGCTTTAATTGAAATTGTCGCGATTCGAGTAGCACTAGATAAAATGAACTTAAAACCTGAACACATCATGATGCTTATACAACGTACTCTTACGGGCAGAAACAGTTTTTTATTACGTCCTTTCTACAAAAAAAATTGTAATTTTATGAATTTTGTTACATGTTTATAACACCTGTCATTGATTATGTTTTTCTTAAAGGCCCATTATGCCTCAAAAAAGCTTTTATCTTCCTTTCTCTAAGATTTTTTTTTAAAAGTTTGGTATATAGTTTTATGTTATCCATATCGTTACTCACTGGCCAGTCACCTGAACTATTTTATCTGCTACATTTTGGCAATAAGTATAGTTGTTGTGAATTAGTATTTTGTATGGAAGGAAGTTAAAATACTACTTTGCTTTCATTTTGCTACATTTACTACAAAGTATTTTAGATTTATAGCTATTTTATTAAGGTTACAAACATCTAACATTCTCTTAATAAACCTTTATTAAAGTTATTTGTTTTTGAGGCATAATGTGCCTTTGATAAAGGTAAAGAAATTTTGCATCATAATTACAATTAAGAAAAAGTGCATTAAAACATCAAAAGACACACTTATATATTAATCAAGAACCATGATGTATCTGTGATGCATTTTGTGAGAGTGAAGTTGTGAAATTTGATATAAAAACACATCATCATATTTAAATTTGACAAAGGTAAGAAGTATTGTCATTTATAAAATTGGCAATCATATATGAATAAGTTTAGCAAAAGTTGTAAATGTTACTGCACACAAAACATCCAGATATTTAAAACATGTTTAAGCTATCAATACTTGTCACAGGAATACATACATCTTGAAATTATACACTAATACATTCTTTACAAAAGTCGATTTTAAAAGCAACAATTTTCACACAAAGCAACGGTTACCGACCAGCATTTAGTTGTAATTTACATTTATAAGTACATAGTAGCTGTTTCCTTTAGATCCATTAGCTATGCTATGTGTTGTCTCACTATTCAGCAGAAATAAGATTTTAAATGTCAGTACTTTGGGAGTGTTTCAAAATCAGACTGAGCACTGACTGTGTAGATGGCAACAATGATGCATCAGCTGCTGGCAGTTTGATCAATCTGGGATGTTATATTTTTGATCATTGAAAATCGTTCAGCACAATAACATTGCTGTGTTGCATAGTTTTAGTTTCTTTTTTTGACTTCTTTTCCCGTTGGGTGGTTCTAGTATTATTTCGTGAATACTGAATATCAACCCTTAAGGATGTGTTGCCTGACTTAAGATTTCTCCTTTGGTGGCTTTTTTCTGATATTAAGTCTTCATAACCCTATATATTTTTTTAACTATTTAGTTCAACATAATTTTCATACTAAGGCTACACGAATTATTTTACTTGGGTCCATTCACTGTTTTTCATGGAGTGGCGCAATGGTTACATTGAAGATCCTTTGATTACCGTCTTATGAACTTGTCTATGGATGTTTAGAATTTTAAGTTTCACTAGTATAATTTCACAACATTTTTGTTTGAATACTGAATTTTGCATGGAGGACGTTGTTAGAAGCTTGCATATATCACTGCTGTCCAAAAAATAGACATACTAGTAATCGAACCGAGCGTAAGTGTGCCATATTGTGTATTCTTAAAGCTTTCGTTTTTCATTCTATCTGCTTGTACGATTTTGAGCATATTTATTCTAAACAATGCAAGTCTGGCATAAGTTGCAGGTGTGAATAAGGAAAAAATACAATCCCTAAGAACTTCCAATAAACAGTAAAATTGAAAATGTTGCAGACTTGGTTTTATTGAGCATGTTTATGGATGGTACTGGATAGTGCAAACTACCGTCCACAGCCCCAAGCACCTCCTCAAGGATAATTCAACCTTTAGCATGAAGTAGAAAAATTTGAATTTTGAAACATTCGCTGATGTGTTATCTGGAGGCATGGCAATGTGACTCTTTTCAGCAAGTACATGA